ATGATGTTGTCCTTGCAGTGTCCTGGTTTGGAATCGGTGGGAAGAGCAGAAAAAATCACACGCCAGAAGCATACATCAATAGATATCAATAGCATGGGGATAGAAACAACTTATGGTGGTATACCTGGTATGATCACCAAACATGGGCAAATCTGGGTGCAGTTCAATTTGCCAAAAACACCGATGTTTTCATGCCAGAGATGGCCGGTTTGTTTTGCGGACTCATTCATACCCAGGTATCCCCACAGTGGTATCTGCCAGTTTTTGGACACCAAGGAAACATGAGTTACAGTTACATCCCACCAACATATCCATGAATCATGTCCGCAAATATCACTATCAAAGTGGCTTAATCTCCATCTTCAGCTGGACAAAACCAACTAGTTTTCCAGGATAAGTTTCCTTTTGTGGATTCTTGCTAGACTTGAGGCTGCTGATCAAATGCTTGGCGGCAAGTCGTGGAATGCTTTTTTGGAGCTACTTGCATGAAGTGATCGGACAGGACGAATTGCATGGCACTGTCCGCTGTCCCCGTCTTTGGCAAGATCAGGATGTGAAGTTTCGCAACAAATGGGGATACAACATGATAAAACCACATTCAGGTATTGGTCACAATAGGAAGTGTAAATCGGCCGGTTCAAAATTGACCCCCAAAAAGGATTTTTCCCCAGATAGCGAAGCTATCGGGGTTCTTACTTCAAGTAAAGGATACGTTGGATATATGTGCGTTTTGAAGCGGGCATGTTGGTGCCGCTGCAGGGTGCCGCAGCAGGGTGCTTGTCAGGGTGCTGCTGTTAGAGTGGTTTGTGCGCTTTGGAGTTGGCTAAATTGTGCGGACGGTTCTGCGGATAGTGGCAAGTGCGACGTGTGTGTAAAGGCTTCTCTGTGTAAAAAACTTTTCTGCGTAGAATCTGCTCGGTGTAAAGGCTTCCGTGTGTAAAAGTTGCTGTGTGTAAGGGCTGCTCTGTGTAAAGGATTCTCTGAGCAAAAGCTTCTGTGTGTAAAAGCTTCTGTGTGTAAAAGCATCTGTGTGTAAAAGCTTCTGTGTGTAAAAGCTTCTCTGTGGAAGTGCTCCTCTGTGTAAAAGCTTCTGTGTGTAAATGCTGTGTGTAAAAACCTTTGTTTGTAAAAGCTTTTCTGTGTTAGCTCTGCTCTGTGTAAAAGCTTCTGTGTGTAAAAGCGTTTGTGTGTAGAAGCTTTTGTGTGTAGAAGCTTCTGGGCATATAGGCGGCTGTGTGTAAAAGTTGCTTTGTCTAAAGGCTTCTGCGTGTAGAAGTTTTGGTGCGTAAAATCTCTTTGTGTAAAAACCTTTCTGTGTAAAGAGTAAAAGCTTCTGGGTGTAAAAGCTGCTCTGTGTAAAGGCGCCTCTGTGTGAAAGCTGTGTGTAAAGGGGTTTGTGTGCAAGAGTCTGCTGTGAGTTCCTTTGTGCAAAGGCTTCTCAGACGCCTGAAATCCATGTCGGGTTTGGACCTCACTCGTGGACCTCCCAATGTAATTGCCTTTTGCCGTATGGGATCGTGCAAACATGGGGTTTACCCCGGATACCCCGAACATATCAAACTTCATCGGAAAATGATGATACTAAGCCATCGGATTTTTTTTTTGCTACCCTAGGTGTGGACAAACCCATTTTATCCTGCCTTTCTGATCGTTGCTTGGTAATATCCCCACTGTTCGGATCATTTGTGGTGTCATCCAGACTCCAAGAAAAAAACGATGGAGAGTTACAAAATCCACGTTCTCCCAATCAATATACACATATATATATATATATACATATTTAGTAGATAATACTACAACTTTTTATTTGATAATTGTACTGTCTGTATCTATTACCAGTTTTGGTGGAAACTAATCCCGGTTTTTCCATGTCCGTGGATGGTCAATCTGCAACGCCACGTAGGTTTTTGCTTGATGAGTTTCGTGCAATGCGTGGCAGGGATGATCTTGGCAACCCTGTGCCATGGGCATTGAGGGCGGCGAGGGCTGGCGAGGGCACCGGGGCGGGTACAAAACATGGATGGTTAGTAGGAAAAATGGATAGAAACTCTTGGCATCTTTTTTTCCGTGACAAGTTTGAACCATTTATAAATATTTATAAATAACAAAAAGACACTATATTTTACATTTTGTCAAGTTTAGCAAAGTGCATGATGGGAATTGGCGATCGCATATTTTTGAATCACTGACTCATTCGTCGTGGTTTTGGGAGCAAAAGAAACCCGGCCGGGATCATCTCAGGTGTCAAGACTTTGTCCAGGACCTGCACATTTTTTTTTTCTGGGATGGCTGGTGCAGTTTCGGTTGTGGCTACTGGAAATGGGATTGTTCCCATTCAATCCAGTTCTTCAAAACCTCATTTCTCCCTCATTTGCGACATTTTTTGGGGTAAATCCAGCATTTCCGGGTACCAAACGCTGCTTGAAACATCTTCGTACCCGTATCGATGCGACTTGGCCTGCAAAATCCCGGGCTTTCTCAGCAGAGAGACAGACAGACGGACTGATGGACAGACGGCAGATAGATGGATAGATAGAGATGGGAAAGAAGAATGAGATGGAGGTAGCTATAGAGAGAGGGAGATAGACACAGAGAGAGAGAGAGAAAGATACAGATAGAGAGATAGATAGATAGATAGATAGATGGATAGATAGATAGACAGACAGATAGATAGATAGATAGATAAGATAGATAAGATAGATAAGATAGATAAGATAGATAAGATAGATAAGATAAGATAGATAAGATAAGATAGATAGATAAGATAGATAAGATAGATAAGATAGATAAGATAGATAAGATAGATAAGATAGATAAGATAGATAAGATAGATAAGATAGATAAGATAGATAAGATAGATAAGATAGATAAGATAGATAAGATAGATAAGATAGATAAGATAGATAAGATAGATAAGATAGATAAGATAGATCAAGATAGATAAGATAGATAAGATAGATAAGATAGATAAGATAGATAAGATAGATAAGATAGATAAGATAGATAAGATAGATAAGATAGATAAGATAGATACGATAGATACGATAGATACGATAGATAAGATAGATAAGATAGATAAGATAGATACGATAGATACGATAGATAAGATAGATAAGATAGATAAGATAGATAAGATAGATAAGATAGATAAGATAGATAAGATAGATAAGATAGATACGATAGATACGATAGATACGATAGATAAGATAGATAGATAGATAGATAGATAGATAGATAGATAGATAGATAGATAGAGAGAGATAGATAGATAGATTAGATAGATAGATAGATAGATAGATAGATAGATAGATAGAGAGAGAGATAGATAGATAGATAGATAGATAGATAGAGAGAGAGATAGATAGATAGATAGATAGATAGATAGATAGATAGATAGAGAGATATCGAGATAGATAGTCAGAGAGATAGAACACATATAGATAGGTAGACAGATAGATAAAGACAGAGAGACAGAGACATGGAGAGAGAGAGAGAGAGAGAGAGACTCAGCGACTCAGCGACTCAGCGACCTTCCGGTCCATCAGTGGATTCGCTCTGAAACTTCCGCCGCCGCTTTGTGCGGTACTAGTGATATTAGACACACCCAAACGAAAGCATGGTTTAGTAGGGGATTTCCATATTTAGTAGGGACCATTTAGGGGATGTTTAATATTAGGGGGATGGGATGAATTCTTCATCAAAACAGAATCAAAGAGACAAAGAAACATCAAACAGACTTGATCCGACAGGACACGGCCAGAGATCCAAAGATTCGGGAAGAGGTCTTCCGATATTATGGCACCTTGATAGCCGGCAACCATCCTTGGTGCTTGCTGGCTTTAAATATTTTAAATGGCTTTGATCTGAGGATAATAAAGATACGAAAAACATCGAACATTCCATGGGAAATCCATGGGTTTTCTTAAGAATGATCTACCACTGGTGGATTTTCCATATCTATGCTAGTTTACTGGCCGGTAGATGATGGTCGGTTGTTGCTTGATGGCTGCGACTGTCTGGGTATGTACTGACTGGGCGGATTCTTGCAATTTCGAGCGTCCCAGAATTGGTTGCTTTTGCTCAGCCACTCCAGTGATACTTCGAAAATGGTATGGGTCAAAATTGAAGGTCCATGGGTCCTGTTTCTTTTTTTTGGTATGCATACAACAGATTGAACATGTATCAACCATCCAAGTTTAGGGTACGAGGGTACCCAATTTTGAGCTGAAAAAGACTCAGCAATTCCTTGGCCGTTCAGGGACCCCCAAGATGTTTTGCCGCTTTTGCCCAGTTAGGCTGCCGAATTAGCCCAGTGGATGCCTTTTTTCCAGCGAGATTTGGCCCAATCTTCCTGTGATGGCAGATGAATGATGTGATGTCAAAAACTGGTTCGGTTCCGGCTCGTCTTTAGAGATCAACGAGTCATTCAGTTCATGGCCACGCTCAGGGGCTTCCATGGTGTTTATGCATTATCTTCATTGATGTCTGGACGATATTGTTTGAATTATCCCGAGAAATGTTTCATAAATTTCCAACACGGTAACATGGCCATCAAGATCGATTCCTTGAATCTTCTTGAGGACCCCTTGGCCCCTTGACAAATTCTGCATGTGAGGCACATTTACCCGCACCTTCCTCTCGATGTTTGAGAGTCTGATCTGCATTAAAAATTGTGGAAACTTTGGGCGGAATTCCCAGCAAATTGTGGTCGGAACATTGTCTGGTTATATTTCTGAAATACACACGATTCGATGAATACATGATTTATACATGATTTATACATGATATATATATATATATTATATTATATTATATTATATTATATTATACTATATTATATTATATTATTATATTGTATTGTATTGTATTATATTATATTATATGATACATATATATAAATATAAAATAAATAAATAAATAAATAAATAAAATGAATATACATATGTACGTGCCCATACATATAGTAGATGCAATATTTATATATGCATATGCATACACATCAGATGTGTTTATAAAGTATATCACTTTATGGTGATTTGTTGTTTTCCACAAGAAACTACGGACATCCACCACATTCCAGATCACTCTCCATCCTTTCGAGCAAAAACTGGCGCAGACCCAGGATTTTATTTGCAAACTGGAGTCCTCCTTGTCGAATTTTGGTCGAGAATGTCTCTTGTCCCAAGCTTCTCTCAAGTGCTTTGGATGTTGGCATTGGTATTGTGAAAGTTGGTTCGCTTCCAGTTGCGTCAAGCAGTTCTGCGCATTCCGCGCAGTTGCACTTGATGTTTTGTGGCAACATGCACAGGTTTTCCCCGCATTAAGCAAATTGAATGCCCTCAAGTTTCTACAACTGGCAATGTGAAGATCCTGCTTCCTTTCATTTTCAGCAACAGGGAAGAACTGGCAGCGGTGGTTGCAACATGGGTCGCGATACTGACATCGAACTCGACACTGCCATGAGTTTCAAATACGTGGATGGGTCAAATTACATATTAAACGCAATGTTTGGGGGGATGAACATGGATGAAGATGGATGAACATCCATTTTGCCAGTTTGCTGTTCACCAAGGTACCAGGCTCTTGACAGAATGCGAGTTCAATGTATATATATATATATACACACACATATATATTTGCCAGTTTTTTTTTAAATGCGGACTTTTCTCAGGTCAATGAGTGGTTCTCCGTTTTCTTCTTGATCTATCGATGTGTCCTTGGTTTTGCTGCGACTTGGTCTTATCTTATACTGATGTGTATACTGATGTGTATATATATATTTTATATATAGAGTTTATGGACATAATATACATATACATACATTATCTAAACATGTATGCTCATGATTCACATGAAATGTCACTGTTTTTCGACAGATTTTTCGATCATGAAATTCCTAAACCGAGGTGATCAATGTTGTGTGTCTCGGCCGTAGATAGCTATCAAAAGCGAGGTTCTGACTCATGCAAAAATGATGATGACACATGATAATCATTGGTTAATGATGGAAAATCATTGGTTAATGAATGTTAATGATGGAAAATCATTGGTTAATGATGGAAAATCATTGGTTAATGAATGTTAATGATGGAAAATCATTGGTTAATGATGGAAAATCATTGGTTAATAATGGAAGATCATTGGTTAACAATGGTTAATACCGGTGAATAATGGTTAATAATTGTTATTAATGTTTAATGATTACATACTGTGGATTTTTGCGAAATCCAACACCACCAATTTTGGATGGTGGAAGACCTATAAATAATGGGATGTTTACCATCAACTGGCGCAGGATCCCTGATTTTCGATTGCAGAGATCCTCAGGGCATTAGTGTCATTAGTTGCCAGCAATTCTTCAGAGATATCCCGCATCGTTTGAAGTGACCTTGAAACTTGCTGCTGGATCTGTGGACACTGTGGATGTGTGCTATCTTCAAATGCCTAGAGAAATACCCTCTGGTAAACTAACATAACTATGGAAAATCACCAATTTTTAGTGGAAACTAATCTTCCAAATCCTATCTGGCAGGGTATATGTTAATTTACTGGAGGGTCATATATAATATATAACCATAGATATAGTACTAGATAGTACCCTCTGGTAATTTAACATAGCTATAGAACATCACCATTTTCAATGGGAAAATCCACTATAAATGGCCATTTTCAATAGCTACGTTAAATTACCAGAGGGTACTGTCGTCATTTTTCCGAAAGCAATGGACTTTTTTTTTTAGGACATTAGCTTGGCAGTTCAGGATCCTTAGGAGAAACAGCTTTCATGAATCATGGCCGCCACCGAACGCTCAGGAACAGTGTCTTTGTTCAGCAAACGATGAAAACCGCCAGTTCAGACGAGGCATCTCGGACAGCCTGAGTGAAGTCTGGGGGACGGACAGCGGACAGCGGAATACGGGAATCCATATTGGAAAGTGTGGACTGAAAGGCTTTGAATTCGATCAATATTAAATATTCCAAAATAATAAAATCATTGGAATCAACAGTTAGATCATTTAGTGGATCAACATGATCAAAAAAAATCTGAAGAAATTAGTGGTTCCAAAACCATTAAGCATCATGTTAGAATCATTTTAGATCATTTCCACAGCATTTCCACAGTTCCAGCGGCGTCTAGCCCGCCCGACCACGGGCCACGGGTTCCCGGTTAGGACCTGGCGTTTCGACAGAAACAGAAGGACATCGCGGCCTACACCCGAAAGGCGATCTTCCAGCGATTTTTACGTCGAAGAATGCTGATATGGGGATGGGTCAAAACCCTGGTACCTAGTGAACCCCAAAATAGCTGGTAAATGGATGTTCATCCCACTAAAAATGTATCTATAGGTATTGACCCATACCCATATATCATCCAGATATCATCCAGCATTTAGCCTCTGGTAAACATACAAACAACTATGGAACATCACCATTTTTAATGTGGGAAAATCAACTATTTCGACTGGGCCATGTTCAATAGCAAACTGTTAAATTGCCAGAGGGTAGCAGTTACTGTAGTTTCAAACACTCAAATGGATGATATCATATGATATCTATACGATTCTATACGTAGTATTAGGACTATTGGGATGATATCATATACCCTCTGGTAAATAAACATAGACCCTGAAAATCACCAATTTTTAATGGAAACTAATCTTCCAACCCCTATCTGCCAGGGTCTATGTTAATTCATATCATATACCGATACCATACACGTCATGATGTTTTTTTCATCTGGCCAACACTCATGATCCAAAAAGGCGGATGGCAATTTCCTGCCATTGAGGATTGCCATGGTGCTTACCCTCTGGTAAACAAACAGTTTGCTATTGAAAATGGCCATAGACATAGTGGATTTACCCATTAAAAATGGTGATTTTCCATAGTTGTGTTAGTTTACCAGAGGGTATTTTAAAATTACATAATCCATGACAAAGCCACATCTGGTTTGAATTATTATTCAATGATGAAATGATATCCAAACCAGAGCTTTCAAAACATCGGATAAATCACACCATGATTCAGAATTCCAATCAAGTTTCCTAGCCATTGAACATGATCATTTTTGGACATTTTCTAGCTATCCATAAGCCGTTGATAATTCGCATCATGACGATTCCTTGAGCGAGTTCTCGACCTTGAGGTGAGAAAGCTGTTTCAGACGATGGATCAGTCAGGCAGGGTGAAAAATACAATACTCAATTACTTACTGGTGCTTAGTAGGGAATGAGGGAATAAACCATTGAGACTTCAAACCTCAAAGTCAGACTTCTATGATTTATATTTATATGATATTATATATATATATACGTACCTCAAAGTGCTTAAGCTCGTTATGGTATTTTGTGACAATGAACCCCAAAACATCCCAAAGCGGTTCAACATAGGCAATGGACCATTTTAAACAGAAGCCATACATGTCATCACAGCATGTTTCAGCGCAATGTCTTGAACAGTTTAATCAATTTCCAGCCATGTGGAAGCACTTTGCGACGCTGAGAAATTGCGTTGGGTAGTCCACTTACGTGGCCGTTTTAACGGGCATTTCAACGCATGTTTTCAGCAGGAACTGTCAAAATTTCCCTTCAGTAATTCATGTTGTTGTTGTTGTTGTTGTTGTTGTTGTTGTTGTTTGTCTGAGCATGTCGAGAACAAACCAAATTTCATGGTTCATCAATGGTTTTCTGTTGAAAAATCCTGCGGGATCAGGCGACGGGACGCTCAACCTGGAGGCGCGTTTGTCCGTTGGTCGAACGAAATGGGCCATGGCTTCCGTAGCGATTAAACCACAAGTCAATGGATTGGTTGAGAAAAATCAGTCAACCATGATTTTTACCAGCCACATCATTTGGAGACGGTCTAAATATGTCTATATTAATCCTTTCGATGAAGGGTTTTCATCAGCATCTATGGGGATGTAGCCAGCAAGGATGGGGATCTAATTGTAAGACTACAAGTCAAGAGGAGATATCCAGAAAAAGTACACAAAGATCAATAAACGTTTTTAGATTTAATATATATATATATAATGATATGAAAAGATTCAAGGCAGTCTGTTGTCTCTGCTGTTGCAGTGCGCGCCTTTTGTTTGTTGGGCTCGGACCTGTTGTCACTCCAGGCTCAAGGCCTGTTGAACCAGAAGGCCATGTTGGCATGACCAAATGTACAGTTGCATAACTGTTGTACACACAAGGGTGTGTTGTACTTAAGACGGCCCCTCAGCTTGTTGAACCCCCTGTTCATCACGCTGATACAAATCTACTAGACACATGTTGAACTGAACTACATTAAGTTGTTTGAAGACTTGTTGCATACATGTTGCAATTCACCTCTGTACAAACTGATGGCATATAGTCTAGTTTTACATCTGTTGTTAGCCGCAGATGTTGGTGACTGCAAATCTTTTCTCTGTTGAATTAAATTAAAGCCGTCTTGGACTATCAGGTGTTAAAGTCCATGTTGCTCTCATCTGCTCTGTTGGTTTGGTACCTGTTGGCACCACGGTGTTGTCTGAGCTCCAGCCTCGACTGTTGATCTGGGTGTCAGTCTCACCTGTTCCATGGATTGCCTCCATGTTGATGCTCTCTCGATGCTTGTTGAGCTCAGCCATATAGCCGTCGAAGTCATTGTTGTCTTCGACCCACTTACCAATGTTCTTGTTGCCACCGAGCCTCTCGATGGTTTTCACACCGTTGAAGCCGATGTTGATCTTCACTCTTGTCATTGGCTTCAGGTGATGTTCTTCTTGAAGGATCTGTTTGGTCCTGTTGGGCGTAGGTGGACTCATGTAGTCCAGGCACTGAGTGCCGGTGTATTCCAAAGCCTGAACTGCGATGCCCATGTATTCATCTTTTCCATCAACGATGTTGTTGATGGCGGGCTGCCGGCGGGAACTTCTGTATACACTTGTTGTGCCTTCATTGATCTTATCTCTTGTTTCATACCTTCAATTGTTTGCTCTTTGTTCAGTCCTTCAGTGTTCTTGACCCATGGCTCCAGTAGGATCTTCTCTGTTGTTGCTTCTTGCCCATCTTCATTGGACAGAGCTTTGATCTCTTGTCCTTTCTTGGTTTTCACGGTCACTGCTGTGATCCTTGTCCTTGTTGCTGGTGGTTCAGTCGTTGTTTCTGGTCTCGTTGGTGCTGTCTGTCTTGTTGCCGTCCTTCGTTGTTTGGACGTACTTCCTTCTGCTACTTCATCTGCCACGTCTCTTTTCGGCGTTGGCAGTGGCAAGGGTGCTCTTGCCCTTTGTGTTGGTGGTGCTGTTGCCATCGGCAGGTCTGTGATGGCCGGTGGCTGGCTTGTATGTGTTGCTGATTGTGCTGCTGTTGTGGGAAATGGTTGTTCCTGTTGAAGAAGTGTTTGTGTCTCTGTTGTCGCCTGTGGTCTTGCCATCATCTTTGCTGTCGGTATCATGACAAAGCTTGATGCTGTTGGAGTTGTCATCGGTGTATTGTTGATGACATCCAGAAGTTGCTTGTTATACTTCTCAGGCTTGACCTGTCTTCGGATGGTTCTTGATCTGACCACTTTGTTGGTGATGCCCAAGATGTTCTCGTTTGTTGAAGTGTTTTTGCCAAGCCAAATTGCTGGAAAGAATCTGGCTTCCATCTTTGGCATTTGTTTTGCTGTTGGCAACATGTATAGAGAGAGCTGTTTCACCAAATTCACAAATTGGTGTCTTGCGTTCCTTGTTCCAGCGTCTGTAGTAGCTGGTGTTGCCATCTGCATGTACTGCATACCTGTTCAGCAGGTAGGCTGCGTGTTTCACCATCCATGGCATGATGGGATGTTTGCGGTAAGTCGTGTGTTGTAGTTGTTCTCAAGCTGTAGCTTGAGTTCTCTCACTTGTCCCATCAATGTTCGATGGAGACGTTCCACGCTGCCTTGGGCTTGTGAGTGTATGCTGGTGATTGTCGTACTGCTATGTTGCTTCTCATTGCTGTGGCTGTTGCTTTCAACAGTGCTATGAGGAAATCCTCATTGTCTGACTGTATGACAGTGTTGTTGAGCACTGCATGTGTTCTGCCACATTCCACAATGAATTGAAGGCATGTTGACTGTATTGCATGCTTTGTGTTTTGCCTTCTATCTGTGCTGCCATGCACATACCTGTTTCGGCACCAATAGCTGTGAAATTGATGATGTTGCCTGCTCACCACTTGCTTTGTAGTAGGTGACGTCGCACTGAATCACCGGTGTTTGTTGCTTCGGGTGGTTGTCTGACCTACCCTTTGCTTGTGCACATGCAGGGCACCAGCTCCTGTATGGTAAGTGTGTGAGCTCGTGTTCGGGCCTCTCTTGTGCTGTTGGTTGTTGTGGAGCTGGAAGGCCTCTTGCCTTTCTTGCTTCTTGTTGCTCCTCAACATCATCTGTGATGTATTCAGTATTCATCGTTGTATGTTGTTGTCTCCTCAAAGTTTGTTGATCCTGTCCACTCTTGGTCAAGTGTTGCTTGTCTCTTTGTGATCCAGTTATCATCTATCCTGTACCACCATTTGTTGGTCTCACCATCGTTGTTCTTTCTGTTGTGAGCTTGGTGACATCTGGGCCATCGTCTGTTTGTTGTGGAATGTAGAGGTCATGTCTTGGCTTGACATGTGCTCTCTTCCACAAATGTCCTTCTCTGATCCAATACTGTAGTCAGTTGTTGGTGGTACTGGCATTGGATGTGGCACTGAAGTTGATCCAGTTGCTCTTGTTGGATCAGACGGTGGCTGCTTTGATGGTCTGCTGCTTGTGCTGACGTTGGGTTAGTTGCTGTGGGACTGTCGTCCTGGTTGCTGGTAGTGCTGGCATTGGTGGTGTATTGCCAGGGAGAGGTGTTACTCTCTTGACCTTGAACCATGTTTTTTCTGTGCAAGGTTCTCCTTCAAGGATTCTCTTTTGTTGCGTGGTGTCAAGTGTTTGGCATGCATCTTCAATGTTCTCATTGTTGCCATTGCTTCTTCTTACAATTGCTCTTCTGTAGTTTTCCAGCCTTGCTGTTGGAACTGGACACCGTTGGTCTGGCACAAAGAGGGCTTTGCGTTGTGTTCTTTGCACTCTGACCAAATATCCTTGGTTGTTGACTGTCCAGAGGTCATTTCTGTTCCTCAAGACCTCCATACCTGTTGGTGTCAAGGTGGCTGGTGTGATCTTTGCTGTTGTGCCTTGGGTCGTTTGATGTACTTCCAGTTGCATGTTGACTGGAATGTTGACAACTCCATTGTCATGAAGTAGAGTCCATCACGTTGAACAAGTGCTGAGTTGAATTCCTTTGTGTGTGTGTGTGAGACTGTTGGTGTCTCGTTGAGTTGTATGTTGAACCCTTGTTCTGCCAGTGTTGCTACTGACAAGATGGGTTGTGTCACTTCGCGCACAAAGAAGGAAACAACTATATAGTTGTTGCTTGTTGACGTTGGTCATCAGGACCCATGTGTACCCATACGCTGGTATGTTTTCATCTGTTGCTGTTCTCAGTTGTGGCCCTTGTCCATGTTCCAAGTTGTGCATGGGTGTGTTGGGCGCAAACCATGGTGGGCAGACATGTGTTTCTGCTCCACTGTCGATCATGATATCGACTTTGTTCTCATCCTGTTGGACTGACTGAAGCGTTGATGCCGTTGGCGTTGATGGCATCTTGTAGTCCAGTGCTGCCACAAGATGTATGGCCGGCGATTGTTGTTCCTGCGCTGTGTGGATGTTGGTGCTGTCAGCGCAAGTTGTGGTGTTTGTTGAGGCTGCTGGTATTGTTGCCCAGCCTGTTTGGTCACTGCTATACCAGCTGGCATCATAGCCGTTGTTTGGGTAATACCATTGTGCCGTGTTGTCATATTGCTGCTCGTACGTTGTATCCGACAAATTGTGGACTACTGTTCGACAGTCTTTGGCCAAGTGACCTGTTTGGCCACATTTGTAGCATATTGCTACAAATTGCTACTGGATTCGTTCCTTTTCCTTGATTGTTGGCTCCTTTGTTCTTTCCTTGTCCTTTGCCTGTTCCTTTCACTGGCTGCCGTACTTGTTTACCTTTTACTTTTCCTTTTGCCTCGCCGTAGCCCTTGTGGTAGCCATATCCTTTTCCTTTTCCTTTGTATCCTTTGCCTTGTTGCTTTCCTTTGTATCCTTTGTGTCCTTTGCCTCTTCTTCCTTTTCCTTTGTGTGCTGCTGAAATATCCATTGGAGCCGGTCCTCCATTGTGATTGGTGCTCACTGATGAGGACACTTGTTGTTGAAGCCTCGCAAAGGCTGTTGTTGTCCTGTAGTACTCTGTAATGATCTCTCTGATCATTGGGTATGTTGGCGCTTGTCCTGCGTTCAGGTGTAATGCTGTTGCAAAAGGCCTGTGGTCTCATTCATGAGAACTGATATCTTGACCTTGTCTGGTAGTTGTGTGTTGTTGTCTCGCTCGTAGCGATCAACTTCAAATTCCCATGTTGAGAATGACTCCTCAAAGTTGTTGTGGTTGAAGGTTGGCTTGAGCAACTTTGTGAGGTAGCCAATGCTCCTTGTTCCCAGGGGGATTGAAAAGCGTTGGCAGAGTTGCCTGTATACTTCGAGACCCATTGCTGCTTGGTGTTGTCGGCACACCGTTGCTGCTGCAGCTGATGTTGTGCTGATTAGAATGTACTTGAGGTTGTTGGCTAGTTGTGTCCAATGTTCTGCTTCCTCAGGTGTTCCTGCTGCGGCTATCAGTTCTGCATCTGTAAGTACTGTTGGTGCCCTTTCTGCTCTTGACAGCAGATCTGGGTAGATGTTGTCTTGTATGCCCATGTAGGCTTTGAACTTGTACTTCCATTCTTCGAATGCTGCGTAGTTTCCATCATATGTTGGTGGCTTTAGCTCCAGCTTGTGTGTTGAGGCAAGTGCTTCTGTTGTTTCTTCATTTGCTGCCATCGGTGTTCCTATGTCGTGACCTGTTGCTATTTCTTCTTGTTGAGGGTCCCCCACACTCTTGAGTTGGGATCAAACCCTCTTGCTTTCCTTCACTTCACGCGCAGTGTGTTGTTGAACCTGTTTCCTCTTTCCCGTTGTTGTACTCGTGGTCTTTGTTGTGTTGGGCTGCTACCCAAGTGCTCCTTGTTGTTGCTTGTCTGGAGCTCACCTGGATGCTTCCAGGATCACTGCTCCGCTACCATGAAAAGATTCAAGGCAGTCTGTTGTCTCTGCTGTTGCAGTGCGCGCCTTTTGTCTGTTGGGCTCGGACCTGTTGTCACTCCAGGCTCAAGGCCTGTTGAACCAGAAGGCCATATTGGCATGACTAAATGTACAGTTGCACAACTGTTGTGCACACAAGGGTGCGTTGTACTTAACCATTATAGTATCGGGCCTGTGATCATTCTGACCCTTTTGGCTTTTGCGCCAGGAATTCGCCAAGTTGGTCACCAATCCGAAGCTGAAATTCTGGATGAGTCAGTTGGAGCTGCCTGGCACTGGCTGTTTCATAGGCTTTCGGGCTACAGTAAATGTTTAGATTCTGCTAGTTGGTTGCATTGGTGAACCCTTACGGATACATATATGTATATATATAGTACCTGCAGATGACATGGGAGTTGTCGGACATACCCAAAAAACGCAAACTCCCATGTCATCTGCAAAGTGAAAAAAACAGAAAAATGCATAAGTCCCGTGTCATCTGTAAAGTGCCTCGGAAAAAAAATCACATGACATGAGACCTTTGCATCCAAAAAGATGCAAATGTCATGTCAACTAACTCTCACACTGTACATTTCACATCCCACATGAACAAAGATAGTATATGAGTGTATGACTACCTACTAGCACTTGGAACTCATCTTTCAAGGAATTTAAAAGAATTTAAAGGAATTTAAATGCATTTAAAAGAATTTAAAGGAATTTAAAGGAATTGGAAGTCCCATGTCCTGTGGTAAATTCGTCTTTTAATGAATTTAAAGGAATTTAAATGAATTTAAAGCAATTAAAAAAAACAATTAAGGAATCTAAAGGAATTTAAATGAATTTAAAGGAATTTAAAGGACTTTTTAAGGAGTTACAGAAATTTAAAAGATTTCTTTAAAAAATAGAGGAATTAAGAAAAATTACCTGCCATTTCCCATCTTGGACGTCTGTGTTCTCCTGGAAGGCCCATGTCATGTGCCAAAAAATCTCGGCTAAATTGGCCGCAAAGTCCCGTGTCATCTGCGCCTAGTATATATTAAAATAAGACATGCACACATGTATAATATGTTATATATATATCTGTGCGTAATGTATGTATGTATGTATGTATGTATGTATGTATGTATGTGTATGTATGTATGTATGTATGTATGTATGTATGTATGTATATATGTAATGTAATGTAATGTAATGTAATGTAATGTAAGTATGTATGTATGCATGTATGTATGTATGTATGTATGTATGTATGTATGTATGTATGTATGTATGTATGTATGTATGTATGTATGTATGTATATATGTAATGTAATGTAATGTAATGTAATGTAATGTAAGTATGTAAGTATGTAAGTATGTAAGTATGTAAGTATGTATGTATGTATGTATGTATGTTGGTATGTTGGTATGGTAGGGTATGTATGTAATGTAATGTAATGTAACGTAACGTAATGTAACGTAATGTAACGTAATGTAACGTAATGTAATGTAATGTAATGTAATGTAATTAATGTATGTATGTATGTATGTATGTGTGTATGTGTGTATGTGTGTATGCAATGAAATGTAATGCCGCACCATTCGCCGGGGGGTGCTGAGGTTAGAGTACCATGATCTCATGAGCCTCTTTGAATTCTTGGACAACGGGGAAACCTGGCAGCGCAGTTGCCACATGTTGCCACTGCGACGAAGAAAGGTTATTTTTCAGAGATTTGATGCAGGGTTAACCATGAGTTTTGGGGGATTCGAACTTACCATCAAAATATGGGGATGTGACTGAGAAATGATGGTGACGCCGACCCCTCCAGGGTCAGCAGTGCGATCCGAAGGCCAACAGCATCACGGCTGCCCAAGAAGGAGATGAACTTGAACATTTTTTTTTGGCAAATATGTACGAAAAAACGGCTAAAAGAGCAGGACAACGAAACCCTCCGCCACAGAGAGAACACAAAGGCAAGGACGAACCCTTGTCACCATGTTTTTACCATTGAAAAACGCTGAATAATGTGGTGATTTTGGTGTGTACAACATTTTCGGAACTCCCAAAGTCTTGAAAAATTGGGGTCCTTATTTTTTTGAAGAAACCATCCATCAACAGTATTGATATTGAATATCTATGAGTATCCCATTATCCACAACCAGAATTTCCCTCTGGATCCCTCTGGTAATTTAAGATAGATACACCTCCTCGTGGTCGACGTCGGCCTGGAACTTGTTTGGTTCCAGGTGCGAAGTAGCCCAGAATGCTATTCGTTCCATGAGATTAGTCATGGAGCCTGCAATTGTGCACAAGGACAATCAAGCACAAAAACCCAGAAAGAAAAATCTGAAAAAAAATGAAAAAAAACAAAAAAGAAGAACAAATTGAAGTGAATTCGTGCAGTTTGTTTCAAAGGAGACAAGAGGCTTTGCCCAAAAAGAAGGTCGAAGAAAGAATGTTAAGACCCACCAAGATCTCCCCGCCGCGTGGGCGGCCCGGTTTGTTTACTTTGTTAGTACTAGATAGTACCCTCTGGTAATTTAACATAGCTATAGAAAATCACCTTTTTTACGAAAGCCAGCTAGCTGGCTAGTTGCTGTTTGCGAACGAAGTGAGAATAGGGGGTGTGGGGGGGAGTGGTTGCCGAAAGGGAACAAAATCTCGCCGTAAGGCTGTGAGGAGCGCCAGAAAACGGAGCATTTTGCTGGACTATGTACCACTAGGCAATTTGCTGACGGTGGGGTATCGATTCCCCCTAGGTCCGCCTTTTTGGTGGCCGGAGAGACCATGAGGATGTATTGGAAAATACAATGAAACATGCGATAACACCCAGAGGAAATGGTGCAAAAACGATTGGAAACTGAAGGAGACGGGTAAAACTCTGGGCAAAATATATTGAAAATGTGTGAAATGCAGGAAACGAGAGGAAATGGTACAAAAAGCCATAGAGGAAAGCGGTGAAAATGGTGGGAAGCATGTAATAAAAAAAGCTGGACAAAACGCCCTGAAAACCTGGAAAAGAGAAGAAAGTAACCGCAGGAAACGGTAGAAAAAACCGTGGAAACTGGCAGCAAAGTTGTGACAATATTAGGAAAACGGTGTACAAGCTAGGAAATGCTTGTAACAACTAGAGGAAACGATGTAGAAAATAGTACAACATGAAGGACACACGTGAACATGCTAGGAGGCATGTAGCATGTTAGAAAAATACAGTGAAAACCAAGAAAAATGTTATAACTAAAAATGCTTTAAAAAATATAGTGAAAACCAAAACACTGTTAACGAGCGGAAACGATGAAAAAACCAGTGGCGCGCAGGAAAATCTCCGTTTGACTGGTGAATGGGACGTCTTTCGAAGGTGTGGAAGAACTGCTAGATGATCTGTTTCGAAAACTGTTGTTCTGGGTATGCTGGTCTGATAGATAGGATAAGCTATAGAGTGTGGTTGGTGAGCTCCGAGATGCGTGTGGTTCAAGCAACATCTGCTGGTTCGTGATCGATGCGTGGGCTCTGAGAGCAAGGAGTTCGGTAGGGTGCTCAAGCCTCAGAACTGGAATGGCATTGGGTACAGGGTTTAATACCAAAGGATTATCTCAAGCAAAAAGTTGAGCAGATTCCGTCAACTGATCCTGTGTAGGGGAATTTGTTTTCAGTCACCGCAGACTTTGCAAAACAAACAATAGTTGGCTTGATGGATAGGTTATGCGTGGATGTACGAAATACAGTCGTGGTCGACTGTGGCTGTGGCATCCTCAGCAATTGATGGGATGCGCATTAAATCTATCTAACTGTGGTTGTTTTTGCTGTTCAGCTGTCAGTGTTGAATAACTGTCCAAACGTGCGTGCCGCTGCTGTGATGATGGAGTTTACAAATGCAGTGAAAACAAGTAGTTGAAACCGGTGAAGAAAATACAATGAGAAGGCAGGAAACTACAGGAAAGTGTTACAGAAAGCAGAAGACGTGTAGCAGAAATTGCCATGGTCCGTGCTTCCACGCCGCCGCCGCTGACAGTGTTTGCTTCCGCGGACCTGCCGTGCCCTGTTTGCAGAGACGCGGTTGTGACGCGGTTCGCGTTTTGTAATTGTTTCGAAATATGCTTTGCGTCTTCGGTTGAGGCCAAGGGCTGCAGGGGCTAGAAGTCTCGGGGCGAGGACAAAGGCGGTGTTCCCGCCGCGTTCGTTACTTGGTGATTCTGTCTAGGAGAAGTATTGTGGTTATTTGGGGGTGTTGCGTTGGCATGTGGTATCAGGAATCGGTCAGGAAGGCCTTATGAAGAGGCGATGTTTCTAGTAGGTGTTTGTAACAAGACGAGGTCAGTGAAAAGAGCGGCACCTCCAATTGGACTTCCGTGCTTTGTCTGCAAGTGTGTTTTTCGGCTGCTTGTTATTCATGACTGGGGAGTTATTCATGGCAACTGAGGCAACAAAGTTTTTGCTCTTGTTTGTTTTGGTTCCGGCCACCAGCGAAAAGAACTGCAACTCCAATTGGACTTGCGTGTTGTGTCTGCAAGTGTGTTGTTTTAGCACGTTGTTAGTCATGGTGGCTGGAGCAAAACGGTTTTTGATGTTTTTTGTTGTGGTTCAGGCCACCTGTTCGTCCAAAGAACCCTGCGCTACCAATTGGATTGGCGCGCTGTGGCTGCAAGGGGGCGTGCTCCATATCTTCTAATGTTTTGGCTGTGGCAACTTTTGTATCATTGCTAAGGCCGCCACCGCTTGCGAAGAAAGCTCGACCGCTTCCGTGCTGTGTCCGCAAGTAAGGTTGTTTCACGTTGTTGCAAGCAGTTTTGGTTACAGTTGGTCAAGCCAATTGCTTATGGCTTACAATGTTTTGGCTTTAGCAACTCTTCTATCAGAGCTAAGGCCGCCATCTCTTCCAAAGAAAGCTCGGCCATTTCTGTGCTGTGTCCGCAAGGAAGGTTGTTTCACGTTGTTACAGGTAATTTTGGTTGTGGCCGGTCAAGGCAACCCGCTCTTCGGCCAAAGAAAGCTCGACCGCTTCCGTGCTGTGTCCGCAAGGAAGGTTGTTTCACGTTGTTGCAAGTAGTTTTGGTTACAGCTGGATGTTTTGGCTTTAGCAACTCTTCTATCAGAGCTAAGGCCGCCATCTCTTCCAAAGAAAGCTCGGCCACTTCTGTGCTGTGTCCGCAAGGAAGGTTGTTTCACGTTGTTACAGGTGGTTTTGGTTGTGGGCGGTCAAGGCAACCCGCTCTTCGGCAGAGAGCGTCAGCAGCACCGCATGCAGCAGGAGCAGATGTAGAGGCAACGATTTGTGTCCAATTTTTAGACCTGCAATCCAGACTGGTAAGGTCGTGAATCCTCATGTCTATGGCACGAACCGCTACAGAGAGCAGAGTATGCCATAGAATAGCGGAGTATTCGTTTGGATTTGAATTTTTGCTGGAGCTTGTTCCTTGTTGAGTACCTATCTTCTTTCCAGGCAACAGCAGGAACAGTTCCAAAGGCGCAAGTGATACTTTGAGTTCTCCGTGCGGTGTCGCGGTGTTGGAAGTCACAAGTAGCCTTGTTGCAATGTGACAGGCTGCAGCAGTGTTGTACTCTTGGGGACCAAACCAGTTGTTGCCAATTGGTCTTAGCTTTGTGGAATGGCTCTTGAGTCGCTTCGTGGCACATTTTTGGTGCAGCCTGTCTTCCTTGCAGGCAAAGGCTACTCCTTCAGAAGCTGCAGCAGGCATGGTTGTGGAGGCAATCAACTGACTCGTCGTGCGCTCGCAAGAGTAGCAATTCGCAGATCTGGAGCTCCCTTCGCCTCAAGCGTCAGCAGCACCGCATGCAGCAGGAGCAGATGTGGAGGCAACGATTTGTGTCCAATTTTTAGACCTGCAATCCAGACTGGTAAGGTCGTGAATCCTCATGTCTATGGCACGAACCGCTACAGAGAGCAGAGTATGCCATAGAATAGTGGAGTATCCGTTTGGATTTGAATTTTTGCTGGAGCTTGTTCCTTGTTGAGTACCTATCTTCTTTCCAGGCAACAGCAGGAACAGTTGCAAAGGCGCAAGTGATACTTTGAGTTCTCCGTGCGGTGTCGCGGTGTTGGAAGTCACAAGTAGCCTTGTTGCAATGTGACAGGCTGCAGCAGTGTTGTACTCTTGGGGACCAAACCAGTTGTTGCCAATTGGTCTTAGCTTTGTGGAATGGCTCTTGAGTAGCTTCGTGGCACATTTTTGGTGCAGCCTGTCTTCCTTGCAGGCAAAGGCTACTCCTTCAGAAGCTGCAGCAGGCATGGTTGTGGAGGCAATCAACTGACTCGTCGTGCGCTCGCAAGAGTAGCAATTCGCAGATCTGGAGCTCCCTTCGCCTCAAGCAAGTCTATCTGTGTCCAAGCCTGCAGCCTTCAGGCCAGCCCATCTGTGTCCAAGTCAGCCACAGAAACAGTGATGGAGGCGGAGGTGCGTGCACAGATTTTGACTGGAGGTCGAGGAGACCAACCCAGAAAGTCCGGTTGTTGCCAAGGGCACCGAGAGCAGCTCTGTGAGTGGCAATCCCGCAGTGCCCACAAGTGTGAAGGTGGGGGTTGGCGAATGACTCAGGGTTTGGTTGTTGAAAACGAGAGAGAATATTTTGTTGGCAGGCAGAAACTATGCTACCTGCTTTGGACGTGGTCATGTCGTTGCAGGTGCCACATGTACTGATTTGAATTATGATATAAGATATCTTTTCGATACTTGAGTTTGAGGCCGCTTTGCCACACTTATCCAGAGCAGCTGCTGCGGATGTGAAGGCTTGTGTGGATAGAGTGACAATTACTGTTGTCACGGGGGGTGTTTATATGAGGCAGCACTACAAGCCCTTGGCACCCCTTTGACGCTAGAGGCAGGCCATGAAAACGGGTATCCGAAGAAATTTTGCAAGCAGGTGTTGTGTCGCGAAGCGTCCGCATGGCTGTGAGGGGCTTGCTTGGGCTTGTTTCTTGTTCAGGCAGGCTTATCTTCTTCGAAGGTGTCAGCAGACGCAGTGGTGGAGGTAGGCGCACGGATAAATTTTGCGTTTCCGGCGCGGTTGTTTTCTAGCAGCTCACTTGTTCAGGCCAGCTCATCTTGTGCGACGACTTCAAAGGTTCCAGCAGGAACAGCTATAGAGGCGATCAGCCTACTGTGAGGGGCTTGCTTGGGCTTGTTTCTTGTTCAGGCAAGCTCATCTTCTTCGAAGGTGTTAGCAGAAGCAGTGGTAGAGGTAGGCGCACGGATAAATTTTGCGTTTCCGGCGCGGTTGTTTTCTAGCAGCTCACTCGTTCAGGCCAACTCATCTTGTGCGACGACTTCAAAGGTTCCAGCAGGAACAGCTATGGAGGCGATTAGCCTAGCCCCGGTCGTTCCTAGTCATTCACAGACCTAGGACCCCCCCCCCCCCCCCCGGGTCTGGGAAGCAGCTATTTTTCCATTTACATATCTTTTTTTTCCCTGCTTGATACTAGCTTCTCCGATTGTCTATTCTGATGGCACATGCAGGGACAGTCACAGTTTTTTGGTCAGGTTAGCCCATCAAGTGTCAAGTCTGCAGCAGGGGCGGTTGTGGAGGCACTGGTGAGAGAACGAGAATGCTATAGCATTGTGAAGTGTCGGTTTGGATTTGAATGTTTGCTGGAGCTTGTGCCTTCTTTAGACAAGCCCATCTTCTTTCCAGGCAACAGGAGGAACAGCTACGAAGGCACAAAGTTTGAAGTTACACGTGGCATTGTTGTTGTAGTATTGCAACATGACAGGCAGCAGCACTGTTGTATTGTTGGAGATCAAACCAGTAGTTGCTCATAGATCTGGAGCCCTTGCTCCCTCAGGCAAGTTCATCTGTGTCGAAGCTTGCAGCAGAAACGGTGGTAGAGGCAAGACCATTAGACAGACTATTGTTTGTGTTCGTTGTACTACTTGGTCATCTTGACACACGTGCATTTACCCATTAATCCCATTAATAGCATGGTGGATCTTTCCAGTTCGTGATGTTAGTCATTACCAGAGGGTATTTTCTGGGTTTTCAGCTTTCTATTTTTCCATGGGAACATCCGCTATTTCTATGGTCATTTTCAATAGCGAACTGGTAAATTACCAGAGGGAATATTATACCATTGATATAGCCAGAGGGATAAAATGGCCCACATGACCAGAGGGATAAAATGGTGATTTTCCATAGTCATGTTATGATACCAGTAACATATATTGGTATGGATCAATACCTATTAATACCATTTTTAGGGGAATGAACATCCATAAATCCCAGCTATTTTGATGTGAACTACAGGGGTACAAGGTTTTGACACACTGCCATATATATCTATCCCATGGATTCATCTTGTCGTCTCTCACCCCAGGTGGTGACTTTGGAGCTGCGTTCCCTGGAGCAACGGTTAAACTACGGCAGCGTTTCGGCTGGCGCCATGGATGAGGCCAAGGAGGCCATGGCCAAGGCAACGCAACGGGGAAAACACTGGGAGTTTGGAGGGAAAAAGGTGGAAACACCTGGGGAAACCATGGAGAAAAATGGGAAAATTGGACTTGGAAAAGGTTGGGATGGTTTTGAACGAAAGGTGGGAGTTTGGTTGGAGAAATAGGGAATTCCAGCTGGGAAAAACGTTAGATTTTAGATGTTCAGCCAATAAATTCAATCAAAATGCGTGATTCAACTTTGGCAGAGGTGAAGCTTAACCGGCTCAAGTGAACATCTCTAATATGAAAACTGGGGCACATATGATGCTAAATTCTCACAAAACATCCTTTATCAGCTGCTATTATCATTAGTAACTTCATCCCAGTCAACATTACCATATTATATTACCAGATTCCCAGATTCTATGAATATTCCTATCCCACTATATTCTCCTCTGAAATTTTCCCGATTCTATATATACATGAATATTCCATAATATTCCTATCCCCCTATATTACTCTCTGGTAAACTAACATAACTATGGAAAATCACCATTTTCAATGGGTAAATCCACTATAAATCACCATTTTTGATCACTGCGTCCGCATGAAATCCCTCGCCCAATTTTCGACCGTAAAACCTCCGCTGATTCTCCGTGAGGAGCTGGCGGAGCAACAGGTGCAACTGGAGCAGCGCCGGGAGGAGGTGGTGAAGTTGGAGGAATCTCTGGAAGTCGCGCAGGTGGGCAGCAAGATTGGGGAAGACTCCTGAGATTTCGATCTAAAACATTTGTTGAGGGTAAGGGCCTCGCTTCGGAACGCGTCTTCAGGCATCGCTTCGGAACGCGCTCTCATGCATCGCTTTTGAACGCACCTCCTCACCACCATCATCATCATCATCATCATTATCATCATCGTCATCGTCATCATCATCATCATCATCATCATCGTTTTCGTCATCATCATCATCATCATCATCATCGTGGCTCTTTTTACATCAACTACAACAAGATATAAACCCTAAAGGTGTCGTGGCTCTCCTTACATCAAGTACAACGAGATATAAAGCCTAAAGGTGTCGTGGCTCTTCTTACATTAAGTGCAACAAGATATAAACCCTAAAGGTGTCGTGGCACTCCTTACATCAAGTATACAACAAGATATACACCCTAAAGTTGTCGTGGTAGTCCTTAGATAAAGTGCAACAACATAAAACCCTAAAGGTGTCGTGCCTCTTCTTACATCAAGTACAACAAGATATAAGCCCTAAAGGTGCCGTGGCTCTTCTAACATCAAGTGCAACAAGATATAAACCCTAAAGGTGTCATGGCTCTTCTTACAGCAAGTGCAACAAGATAGAAACCCTAAAGGTGCTGTGGCTCTTCTTACATCAAGTGCAACAAGATATAAACCCTAAAGGCGTCGTGGCTCTCCTTACATCAAGTGCAACAAGATATAAATCCTAAAGGTGTCGTGGCTCTTTTTACATCAAGTGCAACAAGATATAAACACTAAAGGCGTCGTGGCTCTTCTTACATGAAGTGCAACAAGATATAAACCCTAAAGGTGTCGTGGCTCTATATCAAGTGCAACAAAATATAAACCCTAAAGGTGTCGTGGCTCTCCTTAAATTAAGTGCAAGAAGGTATAAACCCTAAAGGTGTCGTGGCTCTTCTTACATAAGTGCAACAAGATACAAACCCTAAAGGTGTCATGGCTCTTCTTACATCAAGTGCAACAAGATATTAACCCTAAAGGTGTCGTGACACTTCTTACATCAAGTTCAACAACATAGAAACTCTAAAGGTGTTGTGCCTCTTCTTACATCAAGTGCAACAAGGTATAAACCCTAAAGGTGCCGTGGCTCTTCTTACATCAAGTGCAACAAGATATAAACCCTAAAGGTATCATGGCTCTTCTGACATCAAGTGCAACAAGATATAAACCCTAAAGGTGCCGTGGCTCTTCTTACATCAAGTGCAACAAGATACAAACCCTAAAGGTGTCGTGGCTCTGCTTACATCAAGTTCAACAACATATAAACCCTAAAGATGTCTAAAGGTGTCATGGCTCTTCTTACATCAAGTGCAACAAGATATTAACCCTAAAGGTGTCGTGACACTTCTTACATCAAGTTCAACAACATATAAACCCTAAAGGTGTCGTGCCTCTTCTGACATCAAGTGCAACAAAATATAAACCCTAAAGGTGCCGTGGCTCTTCTTACATCAAGTGCAACAAGATATAAACCCTAAAGGTGTCATGGCTCTTCTGACATCAAGTTCAACAAGATATAAACCCTAAAGGTGCCGTGGCTCTTCTTACATCAAGTGCAACAAGATACAAACCCTAAAGGTATCGTGGCTCTGCTTACATCAAGTTCAACAACATATAAACCCTAAAGATGTCGTGGCAGTCCTTACATCAAGTGCAACAACATGTAAACCCTAAAGGTGTCGTGGCAGTCCTTACATCAAGTGCAACAACATATAAATCCTAAAGGTCTCGTTGCTCTTCTTACATCAAGTACAACAAGGCTTTTGTTTCATATGTTCACCTTCATTTTCTGTGGCAGGCGTGGGACCTTTGACATCGACCTTCATTTTGCGTGGCAGGTGTGGCACTTTTGTACATCGACTGTCCTTTTACGTGGCAGGCGTGGGACTTTATGACATGGTTGAAACGAGTCAAATTCTCATAGGAGGATGTTTTTTGTGTTGGTGTCGCTTTGGAACGCGTTTTTCTTCCAAAGTCTCGCGCCTGTCAGTAAATCTGATGTGTGTGTGTATGTCGGGGTTTCCATGAGTTGTGTTATTTTGTGTTCTGAAGTGATCCAAAATGGCTGTGTTCTGAAGTGATGCCTGAGAGTGTGTTCTGAAGTAATCCTTTTACCTTTGTGGAAGAGTTGTTGCTAAGAAAACATGGAGAGTTGAGATGACTAAAAAAAGAACAAATGATATTGTATCCATGAAGAAAGGAGGTTTTCACCAGGAAAAACAAGCAGTTTTCACCAACAACAGTTTATTGGATTTTGATGATTTTGCTTGGTCCTTACATGGAGGAACCCCCAAATGGCTATTTCAGTGAGAGAATGATCATCGACCAAGAGATCTTGGGTAGCTTATTTTCAGACCAACCCATATTGTTGTTGCAAGCATCGTTTTCGTCTATTCTCGTTGGGATTCACACGTGGTACATCCTTGGTTAAATTAGACGGTGATCAATTTGGGACAATCATCCAGACTCCATCTATTCCTGGATTTGGGGACCTGCAGCGTGCGCTTATCAATTTAGCATCAAACTTGATGCTTGCTGCATATTGGGGAGTTGCGAGTTCACACGTTCGCTTTTAACGTTCAAGATGTGTTTGAAAAATTGGGATGCGTCAAAACTTGCGGATGGTTCGATACTACAAATGACAAGTTAAGTGGTTGGGTGAGAATCACAATCCAGACTTCTGTCTCCTGTGGGTGAACTGCTCATTTTCTCGGCCTCTTGGCCTTTTTTGGTCCCAGTATTCGGTGAAGAATCACGGCTTGTCCAAGAATCCAGAAATGTTTTCGAAGCAATTGTACCATAAAAAAACTCTCTTGTTGATTGGTTTATTGATTGGTTATTGATGGTTATTTTGATGCTGATTGATGGTTATTGATGCTAATTGATGGTTATTGATTGGTTAGTTATTGATGCTTATTGATGGTTATTGATTGGTTATTGATTGGTTATTGATTGGTTATTGATGGTTTTGGTTATTGATGGTTATTGATTGATTGTTGATGGTTATTGAATCGCCCCATCCCCCATTAAAAGCACATTTTTTTCTGTGGATCAAAAACGAGCTGCTGTTAGTGATGGGCTGATTCACTGATCGGCATTCTCACTCAATGACTCGCAGCTGTGCAAAGGAACCCTGCAAAACACCAGTTTAATCCTGATTTGGTGTTTTGAGCTGTATAAAAGGACCCTACTGGCGAGGTATGCCCTAGTGCATTAGTCATTGTTTTTCTTTTTGGATCCTGAGGCCAGGGAAGGGCTTGCAACAGCATGGCAGTTGTATTGCGAGCATTTTGCAGACGGGCAGTGCGATGTAGCGAGTAAAACCGATGATTTCCTCCGGGATTTCTTGACTCGCGCGTTGAGTTGACAGAAGGGAGACTGCTGGAACAGAGCTTGCGAAAAGAAGTGTTTGTTTGATGCGGGCGGACAAGGAACTTTACCATGCTTGCTGTCATTACTTGCCACTGGCCTGACTGTTATTGCATTGCACTGGCATGACTGTTACAGTAAGTCTACCTCAAACTTTCGGCTGAGTGTTTGGGGTCCGCTCGTTTGCTTGTGTGGCACCATGGGCCGGCGTGCAAACGATACAAAAAAAGGTGCCGAGGAACCCAAGAAGAGATCAAAAAAGACCAAGGCCGGGTTCGCTACCCGATCTCTGCTTGGGAGCCAGTTTGTTACGAGGGAAAACAAAAACTTGCTTGTGGGCAGTGAGAGGAGTGTCGCTCGGGGAATATTGCCCAAGTTGGGATCCTTCGGTCAGTTTGCTGCTCTGAACACTTGGACTGGAGGTCGAGGAGACCAACCCAGAAAGTCCGGTTGTTGCCACAGGCACCGAGAGCAGCTCTGTGAGTGGCAACCTCGCAGTGCCCACAAGTGTGAAGGTGGGGGTTGGCGAATGATTCAGGGTATGGTTGTTGGAAACGAGAGAGAATATTTTGTTGGCAGGCAGAAACTATGCTACCTGCTTTGGACGTGGTCATGTCGTTGCAGGTGCCAAATGTACTGCTTTGAATTGTGATGTCAGATATCTTTTCGATACTTGAGTTCGAGGCCGCTTTGCCACATTTATCCAGCGCAGCTGCTGCGGATGTGAAGGCTCGTGTGGGCAGTGTGACAATTACTGTTGTCAGGGGGGTGTTTATATGAGGCAGCACTACAAGCCCTTGGCACCCCTTTGACGCTAGAGGCAGGCCATGAAAACGGGTATCCGAAGAAATTTTGCAAGCAGGTGTTGTGTCGTGAAGCGTCCGCATGGCTGTGAGGGGCTTGCTTGGGCTTGTTTCTTGTTCAGGCAGGCTCATCTTCTTCGAAGGTGTCAGCAGACGCAGTGGTGGAGGTAGGCGCACGGATAAATTTTGCGTTTCCGGCGCGGTTGTTTTCTAGCAACTCACTCGTTCAGGCCAGCTCATCTTGTGCGACGGCTTCAAAGGTTCCAGCAGGAACAGCTATGGAGGCGATTGGCCTAGCCCCGGTCGTTCCTAGTCGTTCACAGACCTAGGACCCCCCCCCCTCCCCCCCCGGGTCTGGGAAGCAGCTATTTTTCTATTTACATATCTTTTTTTCCCTTCTTGATACTAGCTTCTCCGATTGTCTATGGTGATGGCAGATACAGGGACAGTCACAGTTTTTTCGTCAGGTTAGCCCATCAAGTGTCAAGTCTGCAGCAGCGGCGGTTGTGGAGGCACTGGTGAGAAAACATTGAGCTTTGAATGTTTGGGGACGTCTATTGCTTGTTGAAACAAGCAGCAGGAACAGTTTAGGCTTTGCCACTTAGTGTCTGTCATGCAGGGAAGCTGTTCTCGATCGGAGCTTTCGGCGGGCATGGTTGTGGGGGCAACCACTAGCTACTATTCAATGTCGCTGTGCTTGCATTTGTAGCAAGTTCCAGATCTGGGCACCCCTCTGTATTTTACGGGACACATGCTAGAAAAGTACGGGACACATGCTAGAAAAGTACAAAGACAAAATTGAGTCCGAGAGGGTAGGGCCAATCAGTGTAAGAACTCTGAAAAATAATACGGAGCAATCATCGCTGCGCAGATCTCTTCTATAGTAAAAGA